AGTCTGTTGCAAACTTCAAATGGTCGCAGGCTGATGACCCATTATGGATTCGGGTCATAAACTACCTTTTGTGTGTGTGTGTGTGGGGGGGTCTATTGTAACTTCAAATGGATGCAGGTTGATGGCTGCCTGTACTGAAATCCCATGGCTGTGTGTTTGTGTGGGTGTCTCTCTCCAGCTGTGCCTGAGTTTTTGGCTGAAAGGGGAGACCGATCCAAACTCAGCCACTCTCACTTAAGTTGGGAGGGGAAGATGCCAGAGACCCCAACAGGAGGGACCAGGAATAATGAAACCCCCTTTGTGGGTGGAAGGAGCTGAATGCTCACAAATGTACATGGAGGAATTGGCAGCATGAAACCGGCACAACGGCCTTTTTCCTAGTTTGTCTTGACCTTCCGTGCAGTCCAGTACTGGACCTTCTTCCCAAAGAGCCTTGAATCCATAAAGGGAAAGAGCCCCCATAAGACTTGAGAAGCATCAGGGAACCAGGGGTCTGGATCAAGGTGCTCACAGAGGGCCCTGCTCTGTGCTTGGAGGGGGCAGGAAAATGCCAGAAGCCCCCTGAAGTAGCCAATAGGAGCCGGGCAGATCCCAGCTTCTGAGCACACCAGCCACTACATCATAAAGGATATTTCTATGGGAACAAGAGAGGAAGGATCACTTCCAAACAAACACAGCTAGGAAATTATGCTGGGTTGGACTGCGGATGAGATGCCATTTCGTGGAGGACAGAGGAGCAAGACAATTAACCAACGTTCAGGGCAAGTGATGACTTAAGGTAGGACTCATTTAGTGAAGCTAATAATGAATCCCACAAAAACATTGTGTTAAACTGAGACTGTTTGAAGTGATATCTTTATGGAAAATAGAGTAATTGGTTCCAGATTGGTAGAAATAAGCAAGGAAAGTATTTAACGCAGGGGTAGGCAACCTTGGCTCTTTTATGACTCGTGGACTTCAACTCCCAGAATTCCTGAGCCAGCCTGACTCAGCTTGGAAACCTCTCCCTTTCCCCTCAGCATGGCTGGCTCAGGAATTCTGGGAGTTGAAGTCCACGAGTCATAAAAGAGCCAAGGTTGCCTACCCCTGATTTAATGTAACATGGTATATGAACAATAATATCACAGCAAATGAATAACAAAAATATCCATAAAAGAATTTAAATGTAATTTAAATTTAAAAGATCCCAAGCTTTATTTAGTAACACTTGTGCCAGGAAGTTGTTTTTTTCTTCACTTTACCACAATTATGGCCCGCTTTGTTTTTTGAAACTATTTCAGGATAAAACGTTTTCTATGCTACAAAGATTTCTAGGCTTTCTCTCTGTGGGGACTGAAAGATGTACGACAACCATTGTCTCATTTCAAGGAACAAATTTTCCACACACCAAGCTCTGATGCAGTTTGTCACCCGGAAAGAGTGTCCAGTAGTCCGAGCACCTGGAGGGTTTCTCTTCAGGACATTTTTACCTGCAGACCCAGGTAGACACTCCAGGAAAATATTTCCCAGACACCAAATGGACAATTTCTTTCTCTTGTGGATCCTTTCGGGGTCTCCAGAGGTCCCAGTGAAATCAGTATTTTGCAACTTTCTAAGCATTTATACAACAGACCCCCTTTTGTGAATGATCCAGGGTTTCATTACAGGTAGTCCTCAACTTACAGCAAGCATTGATGGCCCATAAACCAGTTCTGGATATTGTTGTCATGGTTCCGAAAGAAATAACTTTTCAAAGAACTTTGAGGCTTAATTACCTTAAAGAATCCTTTAATAAATTACATGATTCGGCACGAACAAAGGAAAGCCAAGAACTAAAACACCCCCACCCTAGCTCTCGTGACAGAGCACAACTCCCTCCTTTCACAGTCATCAATCATATGCTCCAATTAATTTAAAGTGTGAATCGTGCCCCCCCTCTATTCTCTGTTATTACGCTCTGCTGTTGCTTTGACCTTGGCTATGCTATGCTAAGATGTTATTATTCACAGGCATTCCTCCCCACTCATATGGCCAGCAATGTCTGCTTTAACTCTTAAAGTGATATGTAGGCTAAATAAGATATGCTTGCTTCTTCACATATGTCGATCAAGAACATCCAATGTTAGCAGACTTGACAATTGTAAAATGTTGCCCCCCCCCCAAGTTATGAGCGCTTGGCAACAAGTTCCATCATTTTGCAGCCATCGGATCAGAATTTGCCATTTATTTTTTTTTTTTTGCAGAAAATACAAATTTGGAAAAATGGCTTTATACTTAGGACTGCTTATTGCTTATTGCCCACAAAAATTCATAAAATCTGATCCGGTCAAATGGGTGCCACAACGTACGACTGTATAAAGCGATGACTGGGAATCTGTTTCAAAAGGCAATCGTAAATCGAGCATTAGCTTTGCAAAACATAATCTACATTCCCCAACACTTTTCTTTTTCACTCTGGTAAGTTATCAATGCTGCTGCTTTGTCAGCCAAACCTCCTTACACTCCCCACACGTACGCATTTTTGCTTGATTGTGTACTCTCTGATTGTATTTTACGCAATGTGACTAGGAAACAAACAATTGTAGGATTTCCCTTCTGTCACTGTGTGAACGTTAAGATGTGATTTTTGAAAAAAAAAAATGTTTCCCTCATTCTTCACAACTGAAGGGGTTTATCTTTGCTATGGACTTCCTGATGCCTTTTTAGCTGAGATTTACAATGAAACGTTTTCTCACACTCTGCACACTTGTAAGGCGACTCCCAACACTCTTATAACTCATTGTCTAAAGATTCTTAAGAACAGTCAGGTGTGTCTTTTGAAAAAAAATGTTTCTCACATTCTTCACAATTGAAGAGATTTATCTCTGCTATGGACCTTATGATGCACTTGTGACACTGGTTTCCTGATTGTGAAGGTTTCCCCACACCAAAAAACTGTAGGATTTCCCGTCTGGGACTGTGTGAAGTTCCTGGTGAATTATAAGATGTGACGTTTCAAAAAATGTTTTCCACATTCTTCACAACTGAAGGAGTTTATCTCTACTATGGACTTCCTGATGCCTTTTTAGCTGAGATTTACAATGAAACGATTTCTCACACTCTGCACACTTGTAAGGCGACTCCCCTGTGTGACTTCTGGTGTGCTTGCGAAGTGATGAAGTTTGGGCAAAACATTTCTCACACTCTGGACATTTATATGGTTTCTCTCCAGTGTGGATTCGCTGATGTCTCACAAGAGTACCTTTTTGAGAAAAACATTTATCGCACTCCGAGCATTTATGGGGCTTCTCACCTGTATGGATTCGGCTGTGGTTTCTAAGGTAATATGAATGAACAAATGCTCTCCCACAGTCTAAACATTTGTAATTTCTTTCCCCTGTGTGAATTTTTACATGACTCCGAAGGGTTGGTGCGGTACAAAAGAATTGTCCACATTCGAAGCATTGATATGGCTTCTCCCCTGTGTGGGTTTTATGATGTCTCCAAAGTACTTCCTTATAAGCAAACAATTTCCCACATTCTAGGCATCTGTACGGCTTCTCTCCTGTGTGGAGCCTCTGATGTTTTACAAGGTGTTGTTTTTGGGAAAAGCATTTCCCACACTCCCCACATTTGAATGGCTTCTCTCCTGTGTGGATTCTCTCATGAAGCTGAAGCTCTCTTTGTGTAACAAAACCTTTCCCACATTCCCCACATTGATAGGGTTTCTCTCCTTTGTGCCTCTTCTGGTGTTCCCGAAGTTCAGAAGAATTGATAAATCGTCTCTCACATTCTGGGCATTCATAGGGTCTTTCGCCAGTGTGACGTCTCTGATGTTGGACCAGATTTGATTTCAAGGTAAAACATTTCCCGCATTCGAGGCACTTTTCATTTTTCTCTCCTCTGTGTGTTTTCTCATGACCCCATAGACCTGAACTCTGGATGAAACATTTCCCACACTCAAAGCATTTGTAAGGTTTTATTCCTGCATGAACCTTCTCGTGGCGCCAAAGATATGAATTCCGAGAAAAGCTCTTCCCACATTCCCAACACGTGTAAGGTTTCTCCCCTGTGTGAATTCTCTCGTGGTTTCTGAGGGTGGCTTTGTCACGGGAAAAAACCCCACATTCCAGACATTGAAAAGGTTTCTCTCCAGTGTGGATTTTCTGATGTGTAAGAAGGTTTGACTTTTGACCAAAGTGTAAGTCACATTCCTCACATTTATAGGGCTTTAGACTGGGGGGGCATCTGAGATCTTTGGCACCTTTTCCAAAAAAGGATTTCTCGCCCTCCAAACCTTCACTGGATCCGCTTCCCACATGGACCTTCCTGTGGGTCAAAAGGAGGGACCAGTGAGCAAAGGACTTCCCACACTCTGAGCATTCATGGGTTCTTTCTTGGTTTTCCGGAGTGCTGCTTGTGTCTGACGGGGGATCCAAGAGTTTCCCGCCCTCCATGAGTTCTGGCGACTGCTGCCTTGCGCTGATTTTCTCTTATCTGTTGATAGTTGACTTGCAGGTGAATCTTTGTTCACAATCTTTTATCTGCTGTTAGAATGAAAAAGAAATCGAGAATAATATTTCCTTGTGAGACATGTAGAGAATGACAAAATCTCAGCCTTGGAAGGGACCTTGAAGGTCTTCCAGTCCCACCCTCTGCCCAGGGTTGGGTCCTCAGTACACCCAGGAGAAAGTGATGGATCCCCTACATCTGTAGGAGAGATGTCCTCAACTTAGATATCCTCAACTTAGGGACTGGAATTTCGGTTGTTCAGTGAAGCAGTGGTTAGGTGAGGACCCACCTGAGCGTTGCACTCTTCAACCGTAAACCCATACTCCCGATTGTAATCATTAAGTTATCTTGAGGGTTCTTAAGTGGGGGGAGGCCCAGGCAATGTTCGTGGGGGGATTCCGGGAGGGGGGGGAGGGTCTGCAGACCAGGCACAGGCTATCCATAAATTGGGGGTCTACTAAAGTGGGATGCACTTTATGTGGTTTCTCTCCAGTGTGGGTTCGCTGATGTCTCACAAGAGTAATGATGTCTCACCCCATAGAAGCCTGAGCCTGGCCATCCAAAGCAGCCCTGATTGACAGCCATGCTGGGTCTGCGTCTGAAGTGGAAGCCTGGGGCCTTCAGCAGTTTCAGCCAGCTGCCACTGACCCCAGGACTGGACTTCAGCTCAGTGCCACCATTGCTACTGAAAAATGAGGCCTTAATCCCAAGACGGGAGGCCTTTGCAGCCTTGTGCCATTCTCCAAGCTGCATGATCCATACCGTTTCCAAGCAACATGTCCCAAAGCATCTCTAACCTTCTTCAGGACCCCCTCAACTCACCCATGACCTCTGCCAGCACTCACATGGCCTCTCCTGCCCACTTCAGACAACCCCAGATTCCTTACCTGAGACTTTTGTCTGCTTAACGACCCGTGAAATTGCTCACCAACCAGGCCCAGGACTGCAATGTTTGAGCAAAGCAGCCAAGTCACATCTCAATGACCGCTTCACGCAACGACCAAGAATCCGGTCCGAATTGTGGTAAGTAAGTCCAGAATGAACTATAGGAATCAGGAAAAAATTAAGGCATCACATAAGAGAAGGAAAGAAGAGAGTTGAGGCTAGTGTAACCAAGCCACCCATTTCTGATTCCCTTTTCTTTCTTCCTTCTCCTGATTTTGCACTTATGAGCTCCATCCCGTCACGACTACTTGATCCTGACTTCCACGTGAAATGTTTTGTATATTTTATAAAATACTACATGAAGGAAAAAAAATGGATCCAGGAAACTACAGACCAATCGGCCTAACATCAGTAACTGGGAATATCCTGGAAAAGATAATCTAACAATGGATCTGAGAAAGCATAGAAAGAAACAAAGCTATTACTAGAAGTCAACATGGGTTTGTCAAAAACAGATCAGGGGCGAAAAAACTTATTACATTCTTTGACCAAGTGACAGAATTAATGGAACAGCAAAATCTAATCAGTAAAACCCAAATCCTCCCACCTTTTTTTTAGTCATCAAGTTTTTGACACCTTGCTAAGCACTGGTGGTACTCAAATATTGTCATGTCCTAAAAGTGGTACAATCTGTGAAAAGGTTGAAAAGCCCTGGGCTAGTGTAACCAAGCCACCCATTTCTGATTCCCTTTTCTTTCTTCCTTCTCCTGATTTTGCACTTATGAGCTCCATCCCATCATGACTACTTGATCCTCGTGAAATATTTTACATATTTTATAAAATCCTACAAGAAGGAAAAATGTGATCGATCCACTGTGGTTTCTGCTGATCAGGATGTCTTAGGAGGTGTAGCGAGTTGTTGTTGTTTTCTTCTCCTCTAGCAAATTGTATTTGTGGAAGTGCCGATGGCCAAATCTACCAACAAGTTAAAGGGACACCCACCGATTCAGGACTTACAGTGGAGGTCATCCTGCAACGTCTAGAAGCCATATAGCACATCCACAAACACAACCAAAAGTATGGATCAGGTATGTAGACATGACACCTTCACCATAATAAAAAAGCACCCATGAGAGAACACCCAAAGAACCATCAACAACATTTTTAAAGAAATCCAATTTATTAGAGAAGAAGAAAACAACTCAGATCAGCATGGATTAACTCCAAGGTCAGACTAACAATCAAGTAAGCAATATCCCGATCAAGACACTGCCAAAGAGCCATCAGTGATCAGCCCAACCAAAGAATCCCTAAGATCAGGGGTCTTCAAACTTGGCCCTTGTTATGTGCTCCTGGCTACTTATCTTGGTGACCAGAGGCAAGCTCGCCTGACCAATATTTATTTTATTTATTTATTATTTAAATTTATATACCGCCCTATCTCCCTTACGGGACTCAGGGCGGTGAACAGGCAATAATAAAAATCACAATAAATATTGCTTAAAAATAATCAGCCAAGACACAGTGAAGATCTTTTGTTTCGTTTACTGCACTAAGCAGGGAGAGATGCTATCAAAGCTTGGTTCTCTCCGAAGTTTCAACCCAAAATATTCCTTTTTTTTATACAACCCTGTCCCGGCCGCCACATCCCTCCTCTTTCCCCATTGGCTGAGGTACTAGGAGGTTACACTCTTTCCGACCGCCTCCTACATATTTCCTGCTACATACTAAATCATACATCACATGTACATTAAAATTAAGAGATAATTTATGCAAGGTGTGTCAGTTAATATTAATCAACTAATTGCACATGCTCAGTTGCCTGAGTTCTGGCCCCCCTTTTTTATGACTTCCTAGAAATATAGGTTCTTTCCTGTTTTGCTAGTTATCTTCAATTACAGATGTTTTCTTTTTTCCTTTCCCACTCTTAAGACCCAGCTATTTTTGCCTACATATTTCCTTTACATCCTTTCTTTATGTTAACCTTTCCTCTTTCCCACCATAGCTTCTCTACTCAGTAAATTTTCACTGCAACAAATTCAATTTTAAATTTCTCTTTCGATATTAAATTTTGAAGACATTGACTTCTATCAAATCCCCCTTTAATTTTTATTACACTGAAAGGTCTTCATTATCATGCTTAGAAAATCTTATAACCATTCACTGTATAATTTCTTCTCTTCCTAAGGCTTTCCTAAAAGTTTTTCCTACAGCTTTGGTTAAAGTAGATGCACATAGAGGAATAATTGCAAGCATGCACAACACATAAGTCCTACAAATATTTGTTTTAGCCATCTAAAATTGAGAAGCCAATTAGTTAACCAACTCCAATCACTCCACATATTTTCATACTTTTGTTCAGGAGCTTTAGCCACTTTCTTGATTCCTTTCGCAATATCCATTTCTGCTTCATGATTGTCATCTACCTTTAAATCACCTAAATATGAGCCAGCAGTGTGCTACAGCTGCCAAAAAGGCCAACACAGTGCTAGGCTGCATTAACAGAGGGATAGACTCAAGATCACGTGAAGTGTTAATACCACTTTACAAGGCCTTGGTAAGGCCACACTTGGAATACTGCATCCAGTTTTGGTCACCACGATGTAAAAAAGATTTTGAGACTCTAGAAAGAGTACAGAGAAGAGCAACAAAGATGATTAGGGGACTGGAGGCTAAAGCATATAAGGAACGGCTGCTGGAATTGGGTATGTCTAGTTTGACGAAGAGAAGGACGAGGGGGGACATGATAGCAGTGTTCCAATATCTCAGGGGCTGCCCCAAAGAAGAGGGAGTCAAGCTATTCTCCAAAGCGCCTGAGGGCAGGACAAGAAACAACAGATGGAAACTAACCAAAGAGAGAAGCAACCTAGAACTAAGGAAAAATGTCTTGACAGAACAATTAACCAGTGGAACAACCTGCCTCCAGAAGCGGTGAATGCTCCAAAACTGTAGGTTTTTAAGAAGAGACTGGACAGCCTTTTGTCCGAAATGGTATAGGGTTTCCTGCCTGAGCAGGGGGTTGGACTAGATGACCTCCAAGGTCCCTTCCAACTTAAAAATAATCCATCACTCCATCGCCCCCCTATCGCCCCCTTTTCGTTCCATCGCCCCCCTGAAAAATGAAATCGCCCCCTGGGGGGCGGTACCGCCCAGGTTAAGAACCACTGGACTAGATGACCTTCAAGGTCCCTTCCAACTTTATTATTATTATTACTTCTATCAATTGGTACAATTATGAAATGCAGCCTTTTGGCCATCACCTTGTTTTATGACCTGCTCACAAGGCCAGCCTTAAAACTTTCTGGGTCCTTTGAAAAAGATCCACCAAGAAGGGGCCGCCCCATCACAGCCTCTTCAGGGCAAAACAAGGAAAATATAAAAGTTTAGAAATTCTACTCAGCTGTTCAAAGTAGAAGCAAAGGAAACATTAGCATAAAAACGAAGGAGTTCGTTGTCGGCCTTTTATACTGAGCTCAGAGAAAGAGGATCTCTTGGGGGTTAAGAAGAAATGAACTCAAATTTAGTTAATTTAGACTTTTTCATCCCCCCTTCCCCCCCCCGAACCTTCCCCCTCCCCATTGCAAAAAGATCACAGGGGTGTTCATACCAGATTACAAATCTCAACAAACGTTTTAAAGCTCAATAGACTCTTATTTTTTTCAAATGCACGTGCGGGATATGCATGCTCAGAGACCCCGTGGTCTGACGGACCGAAGAGAGAACCTCTGGAGCAAAAGCCCCGAAGTTCCTTGTAACACCACCCGGATCCACCCCGGGATCCTGGGCCGGGCGAGGAGGGGGCAGATCCAGCCCGGGGAGGGAGGGACCCCCTTTGCCCCCCTGGAGGGAAGGGAGGGATCCACTCCCTGCAGGCGACGCCAGAGCCGAATCTCCCCAAGGAAAACCCGGCAAGCCGGAGAGGCGGATCCGCAGCTACCTTCCTCCTGGCGGGGGGGGGGGAAGCTCTCCTGGCGGGAGGGGCGCCCCAAAGGCCGGAGGGAGGAGAGCAGCCAGACCTGCCCCGAGCGGGATCCAGAAGCCTCTCCCGAGGGATCCAGCGCCGATCCTGCCAGGGCGAAGCGGCAAACGCCAAGGGAAGCGGAAATCCAGCGAGTGGGAGGGTGGAGGTGGGGCGGGGCTTCTGTTCTCTCGGGCTCCGCCCTCCCGCCCCGCCCCGCCCCTACCCAAAGCACATATCCAGCATACTTTCTTCCTCCTATATTCCTTACAACCACCCTGTGAGGTGGGGGCCAGATAGAGTGACTGACCCCAGCTGGCTTTCGTGGTCAAGTCACGATTTGAACTCAGGGTCTCTGGCTTTCTAGCCCAGTGCCTTAACCACTCATAAATCACTCTTCCCCCCAGTAACTTTGAATGGTCACTAAACAAACTGTCGTAAGTCGAGGACAACCTGTACTGCTTAGACCAGGGGTAGGCCAAACTGGCTCTCCCGGATTAGATAGGTGGAGTTGATTGGGATTAGATTTATGTATTTATGGTTAAAACCACAGCTGTACACACAGTTGCCATAACTGCACACATGAAAGCCTCACATTAACTGAATTTTGGGTCACGTGAAACACAACCTGGTGTCAATGTACAATTTACACTAAATTGAATATTGCACCACATTCTCACACATGTAATGCTGACTCTACCAGAAACACCAAGGAGTCAAGAGGGACGTGTTGTTTCTTCAATCCTACAAGAACTCTTGCTTGCTCCACAGTGGAGCTTTTATGAAGGATGCTTGAAGAAGGAGACTGGACTGGACACCTGCATTGTTCTGTGTGGGGATCCTGCCAAACACGCTGGACAAGGATCTAGGATCCAAGATACCTCAGCTCCAGAAAGGATTGTTTGCAGCTCAGGGTTGAACTGTCTTTGGTGTACTCTTATGAGCTTGGTTGTTTCCTTGCAGATGTTTCATTACCTAAGTAGGTAAAACGATCACTGCTAAGAATGTCACCTAGCACTGATAATGTTACCTAGTTGGGTAATGAAACGTCTGCAAGGAAACAGCCAAGTTCAGAGGACACCAAGGTCCCCACACCAACTCTGGCCAAAGAGCCCCTTGTTGTCTCAGTGCATCGACCTTCTCATCCCTCCATCAGTTGAGAGGGAACCTCATCCATTCCTGGACTGGATTGAGGCTGTCAATCAAAGAAGGGATCTCCTAGGGAGCATTAAGCCTTGGCTTTCTGCAGCCTTCATCCATTCCACCTCCGTCTCCAACCCTCAGGGAGGAGGCTGGGAAAGGGCTTTGACCGTCGGTAAATAAAGGCAGCTTCTCTGCTGTGGACCTCTCGCCTGTGTTTCATCTCCCACGGTGGGAACCAACCACTCAGGGACACTTCAGAGTTCCTGTTGACTCAGCAATCTACAGCTGCCTTTCTTTGATAGATGCTGGAAGACTTTTTTGGTGTTGCTTCTTAACTGGATGGTAAATATTTTAACCCCTTGGGAGTTTTTAATTCAGATATCTTTATGTCTTAGAGTGGTCTGTAATAGCCACTGGTGTAGTGCTTGTGACCCTCCATCATGAGCACTTTAAAGTACACACACCCAGACACACACACACAAGGCTCACATTAAACCAATTTGGGGTTGTATGAAACGCAACATGACATCAATTTACAATTCACATTAAACTGATTATATAATTGAAAGTCGCCCTTCTTGTGACCTACGTTGTATGTCCTAAGTAAGATGTGGTTCATTTCATCACGAGTGTGTCAGGCACATATAAATAGCCACCAATGATCTGCCCTTAAGAGCAGGGGGTCCATCCCAATCCCCGAGGACATTTTTCCCAAAGTTCATCCAAAATCTACGTCTTTCAATTCAATCCTAAAGTCCGAAGTCTCCAGCGAGGGAGGGCGGAGTCAAAAGAATCGAGATGGCGGCTGTTTTGAAGGGCATCACACACACCGCTAAAAAGCAGCAGGACTTTGACTGCAGAGCATGGCACAATCTGACCCCCCCATCTTGACTTTTTTTGAACTCCCTGAAAACAGCCCTCTTGATGATGTTGAACAATAATTTTATTAAGGATTAGATTCACATATCAAAGCAAGAAACCTAATGCAAATATCTGTGTGTGAATATAGGAAAGAGAGGATGTGGGGAAAAAAAAAAACCCTGCAGAAAAGATAGTAGGAAAAATAATCTTTTGATCTTTATCCTCAGCCAACATATATTCAACATCAACTTTATCACTAAATAAGCATCCTAATTCCACCCTCCCCCCCATTTTCTCCTCTTTGAATCTTCAGTTGTCCTCACTGATCATCAAACGGCTAGTAAGAACTAAAAGAAATGCCTGGGTGCCTTGATTTAGGACTGTAAGCAATTTATGACTGGAAATCCATTCCAAATTGTGGCCATAACTTTAGGACTGCCTGTACTCTGCAAAACATTATACATACTCCCCACACATTTATAACACTTTTGTGTAATCATTCTGGCAAGTTACTAATGCAGCTTTCTGAGGAAAAAATCCTCACACCCCCAACACTCAAGTCCTTTTGCCTCATCAAACATTTGTAGGATTTCCCTTCTGGGACTGTGTGATGTTCCTAGTAAATGTTAAGATGTGACTGTTGAAAAACATTGTTCACAACTGAGGAGATTTATCTCTGCTATGGACTTTCTGGTGCATTTTTAGCTTTGATCTACATTGAAAATTTTTCTTGCACTCTGCACACTTATAAGGTTGCTCTCCTGTGTGACTTCTGGTGTGCGTGCGAAGTGTTGAAGAATGGGCAAAACATTTCCCACACTCCAGACATTTATATGGTTTTGCTCCCGTGTGGATTCTCTGATGTATCACAAGAGTATCTTTCCGTGAAAAACATTTATCACACTCTGAGCATTTGTGAGGTTTCTCTCCAGTATGGATTCGGCTGTGACTTATAAGGGAATATGAATAAGCAAATGCTCTCCCACAGTCGAAACATTTGTAGTTTTTTTCCCCTGTGTGAATTTTTGCATGACTTCTAAGGGCTGATGCGGTGCTATAAAATCTTCCACATTCGTTGCACTGATATGGCTTCTCCCCTCTGTGGGTTTTATGATGGCTCCAAAGGTTCCCCTGGTGTCCAAAACTTTTCCCACATTCTAGGCATCTGTACGGCTTCTCTCCTGTGTGGAACCTCTGATGGCTTCCAAGGTTTTGTTTTTGGGAAAAGCATTTTCCACACTCCCCACATCTGTATGGCTTCTCCCCCGTGTGGATTCTCTGATGAATCTGAAGATGGGCTGGCGAAATAAAACTTTTCCCACATTCCATACATTTATAGGATAATTCCCCTTTGTGCCATTTCTGGTGTCTCTGAAGTTCATAACAATCCACAAATCGTCTCTCACATTCTGGGCATTCATAGGGTCTCTCTCCAGTGTGACGTCTCTGATGTTGAAGCAGATTTGATTTCGTGGAAAAATATTTACCACATTCAAGGCACTTTTCTTTTTTCTCCTCTCTGTGTGTTTTCTCATGACTCCATAGACCTGAACTCCGGGCGAAACATTTTCCACACTCAAAGCATTTGTAAGGTTTTATTCCCGTATGAATCTTCTCATGGGCCCAAAGACTTGCGTTCTGAGAAAAGCTCTTCCCACATTGCCAACACTTGTAAGGTTTCTCCCCTGTGTGAATCCTCTCATGGTTTCTGAGACTGGATTTTTCACGGAAAAAATTCCCACATTCCAGACACTGAAAAGCTTTCTCTGCAGTGTGGATTTTCTGATGTCTAAGAAGGCGTGACTTTCGACCAAAGGATAAGTTGCATTCCTCACATTTATAGGGGTTTTGGGTAGGGGGGCTTTTGGGATCTTTGGTTTCTTTTACAGAAAAGGATTTCTCATCCTCCAAACTTTGACTGGAGCCGCTTCCCACATGGACCTTCCTGTGGGTCAAAAGGAGGGAGTAGTGAGCAAAGGATTTCTCACACTCTGAGCATTCATGGGTTCTTTCATGGTTTTCCGGAGTGCTGCCTGTGTGTGACGGGGGATCCAAGAGTTTCCCAGGCTCCATGCTTTCTGGCGCTGGGTGCCTTGGGATGAATTTCTACTATCTGTTGATAGATGGCTTGCAGGTAAATCTTTGGTCACAATCTTTTATCCAGTGTTAGAAAGAAAAAGAAAAGGAGAATATTATTTCCTTTTGAGAAATCACAAAATCTTAACCATGAAGGTCTTCCAGTCCCACCCTCTGCTCAGGACAGGATGTGCAGTACACATGGGACAAAATCTCCAGTGATGGAGCCCCCACATCTCTAGGAGGGATGTCCTCAATTTACGACCACAGTTGGACTGGAATTTCGGTCCTTCACTGAAGCAGTGGTTAGGTGAGGGGTCACGTGACCACTTCTCTCCACGAGTGTAATCCCACACACTGGTTGCAATCAGTAAGTAACCTTGGGGGTTCCTAAGTGGAGGGAGGCCTAGGCAATGGTTGTGGGGGGTGCCTCGGGGATGGGGATGGTCCTGGGGATCAGGTACAGGTTACCCATGAGTTGGGGGATGCTGAAGTGGGATGTAAAGCTGCTCCCCCTCTAAAAGTCTGCGCTGTCTCAGCCTGGCTATGCAAAAACAATCCTGATGGACAGCAATGCTGGGCTGGCCTGGGCCTTAAGTGGAGGCCTGGGGCCCTCAGCCGTTTCAGCCAGCTGCCGCTGACCCCAGGACTGGACTTCAGCCCAGTGTCACCATTGCTACTGAGAAATGCCTTAATCCCAAGACCAGAGGCCTTTGCAGCCTTGCGCCATTCTCCAAGCCGTGTGTTCCATACTGTTGCTAAGCAACGTGTCCCAAAGCATCTCTAAGCTTCTTCAGGACCCCCTCAACTCGCACATGCCCTGTGCCAGCATTCACATGGCCTCTCCTGCCCACTTCAGACAACACCAGATTCCTTACCTGACACTTTGTCTGCTTAACGACCCGTGAAATTGCTCACCAACCAGGCCCAGGAGTGCAGGATTGCAACGTTTGAGCAAAGCAGCCAAGTCACATCTCAATGACCGCTTCACGCAACGACCAAGAATCCGGTCCGAATTGTGGTAAGTAAATCCAGAATGAACTATAGGAATCAGGAAAAAATTAAGGCATCACATAAGTGAAGGAAAGAGACTTCAGGCTAGTGCAGTGATGGCGAACCTTTTAGAGACCCAATGCCCAAACTGCAACCCAAAACCCACTTATTTATCAATGGGTGCCGGGTGGGCGTGGCCTCAGTGGTCATGGCAGACTGGGTGGGCGGGGCCAGGATGGCGGGGGCCAGTCCCTCACCATCTCTGGGGCACGGCACATGTGCCCACAGAGAGGGCTCTGAGTGCCGCCTCTGGCATGCGTGCCATAGGCTCGCCACCACTGGGCTAGTGTAACCAAGCCACCCATTTCTGATTCCCTTTTCTTTCTTCCTTCTTCTGATTTTGCACTTATCAGCTCCATCCTATTATGACTACTTGGTCCTGAAATATTTTGTATATTTTATAAAATACTACAAGAAGGAAAGAGACTTCAGTCTAGTGCAGGGGTAGGTAACTTTGGCTCTTTTATGACTTGTGGACTTCAACTCCCAGAATTCCTGAGCCAGCCATGCTAGAGCAGGGCTTTTCAACCGGTGGTACGCTACCACTTGTGGTACTTTGCCACATGGCAGGTGGTATGGGATTGCTAGCCAAGTGTAGCAGGGGAGGCCAATGAGCTGAAGCTACCCAAGGCTGAGGGAGAGGCAACTGCAGCTGCAGGACTGTCTGGGCTCGGCAGAAGCCCCAGGAGCTGGCAGGGCTCCAGCTGATTGGCGCTTCCCAAAGCAGCTCAGGTGAGGGGAAGAGAAGTGGTTTGGGCAGGGGAAGGGGAAAGGTTTAATCCCTTTAAACAAATGTAATTAGTTTTACCCCCTTTAACTGAGTCTGTCTGTGGCTTTTAGAAAGTTTCCTTTGAAGCTAAACTGGCTTAATTTAAAGCAGTGGTTCTCAACCTTTTTAATGCCGCGAACCCCAACCGGTCGTAAGTTGAGGATTAAACTGGTCGTAAGTCGAGGACTAAACCAGTCGTAAGTCGAGGACTAAACCGGTTGTAAATCGAGGACTACCCAACTGGTCGTAAGTCGAGGACTTTCCCTGCCCGGGAGCGCCACGCATGCGTGGTTCCGCCCCCTGCGCCGGCTGAGGCGTAGCTGGCAAGCGGCAGAGACGGAGCAGGCCGACCACCAGCTGGCCCAGCCCAAGGGAGGTAAGGCACCCGCTGGAAAAGGGGAAAAAAATGGCGGACAGCCTTGCTTGGCGACCCCTGTGAAATGGTCAATCAACCCTAAATGGGGTCGCGACCCATAGGTTGAGAACCGCTGATTTAAAGCTAAAGCTTTTCCTAATTGCCGGAGCCTTTCAGTCTAGAATTGCAACATTGTGACAAGTGACACACCTGAGGCAATTTAAAGAGAGAGAAAAAAAGACTTGGAGTTTGTGTTTCTTTATTTTCTTGCTTTGCAATTGATTCCTGTGTCTTTAAGGGTACAGGGAAGGGATTGGGGTGTGTGTGCATTCTTACTACACTGTGGAAGAGCTCAGAAGGGCCAACCAGCTAGCTCAGGAGTCTACAAATTTAGCAACTTTAAGACCTGTGGACTTCGACTCCCAGAATTCCTCAAGCAGCCATGAGGGCTGAGGAATTCTGGGAGTTGAAGTCCACAAGTCTTAAAACTGCCAGGTTTGAAGGCCCCTCAACTACCTGGTAGTGCTGCATATTAATAAATATGGATAAATTCATCATACATTTGCCAATGCAAAGGGAAAGGAAATTTTAATTATATAGGCCATAGCAAATATTTCTTTTTAATTCGGTTTTAAATTAGGTATTTATTGTAGCATTGGTTTTATAAGGCTGTCAGCCGCCCTGAGTCCGGTAAGGAGAAGGGCGGGATATAAATCGAATAAATAAATAAATTCAGCAAAGGAACAGCCACCGAAGAAATTAAAACTGGTACTTTTTTTTTTTACTTTTTTTCTAGTTTGTAATATTTTATTAGATTATAGAATAAAATACAAAAATACAAAAGCAAATAGTAGGAGACAGTGGGGAGGAAAAAGGGGGGAAAAAGTGAGGGGGAGAAGGGAAAAAGAACATACCGTATTTTCCGGCATATAAGACGACTTTCTAAACCCTGAAAATCTTCTCAAAAGTCGGGGGTCGTCTTATACGCCCAGTCATCTTATACGCCGGAAAATACATGTATTCAGGCAGGCTTCCAGAGTTCGGCTGGCAGGATGCAGGTAACCCCTCCCCCCGTCCTGCCGCCTCCCACCGCACCGTGCCGCTCCGCGTCCCGCGCCTCCGTGTCTCAAGCCTCTGTGGCACAGAACTGCTGGCATTATGCTTGGGCGGAAGACTTTTTCTTTTACAGATGGGGCGGGTGGGCCTGACATTTGCGCGCAGGCAGGAGCCCGCCCGCCGAGCCACCGCTTCCCCATCGCCCTCCACGCCAGCCGTCTCCGTCTCCAGACCTCCCAGCTGACGGGCGCAGGTCGGGGGTCGCCAGCTGACAGGCGCAGGAGTTCGGCGCTGCAGCGGCCTCCCCTTCGCCCTCCACACCGGCCAAAGCGTTGCCTGATGTTCCAGCTGACGGGCGCAGGTCCGGGGGTCGCCGCGGCGGCACCTACCTCCTGCGCCCGTCAGCTGGCGATTCCCGGACCTGCACCCGTCAGCTGGAACGTCAGGCAACGCTTTGGCCGGTGCGGAGGGCGAAGGGGAGGCCACTGCAGCGCCGAACTCCTGCGCCTGTCAGCTGGCGACCCCCGGACCTGCGCCCATCAGCTGGGAGGTCTGGAGACGGAGACGGCTGGCGTGGAGGGCGATGGGGAAGCGGTGGCTCGGCGGGCAGGGTCCTGCCTGCGCGCAAATCTCAGGCCCACCCGCCCCATCTGTAAAAGAAAAAGTCTTCCACCCAAGCATAACCTTTAAGGATTTTAAGGATCTTTGAGAGGGAGAGAGAAATAGAGGGAGAGAAAAAGGGAAAGAGAAATAGAGAGAGGGAGAGAGAAAGAGGGAGAGAGGGAGAGAGAGAGAGAGAGAGAGAGAAGGAGGGAGAGGGAGAGAGAAAGGGAGAGAGGGAGAGAGAAAAAGAAAGGGAGACAGGGAGAGAAAGGGAGAGAGAGAGAGAGAGAGAGGGAGGGAGAAAGAAAGAGAGAGGGAAAGAGAAAGGGAGAAAGAAAGAGAGGGAGAGAGAGAAAGAAAGAAGGAAAGAGATTAAATTAGTAACATGGCTGTTCAGGGAATCTGGTTTCCCCACTAACTTTCCTTGTCACAAGGTTGCAAAAGGTGATCACATGACCCTGGAACAATGTGACCATCATAAATAAGAATCGGTTGCCAAGCATCCAAATGTAAATTACATGACCCTGGGGATGCTGCAGTGGTCATAAGTGTGAAAAATGGTCATAAGTCACTTTTTCCAGTGCCGTTGTAACTTTGAACAGTCACCAAGCAAACTGTTGTANATCCTTCCTTTCAGCTTTAGAATGAATTAGGAAAAGTTTAATCCACTTGCACTGTTTTATGTTTACATGTTTGATGACAAACAGCCTTATGTTTATAAGTGACAGTTTTCCTGCTAAGTACCTGCATGTCATAAGCATTTGAATTAAAATTACCATATTGAAATCAAATCTGATGTTTTTTAATTTTTATTTGGTGTGCATTGGAACAGGGGTAGTCTTATACAGTGAATATAGCCCAAACTCTATATTTTAACTGGAAAAGTTGGGGGTCGTCTTATACGCCCAGTCGTCTTATACGCCGGAATATACGGTACTTCCTCTGTTGCAGTAGAAGGAAGCATTAACACTGAACCTCAGCATTTTACTTTTCCATAATAGTATAAACTAGCCATTTCTATAACAACAAATGAATCTAATCAGTAAAACCCAACCCCCCCTTTTTTAGTCATCAGGTTTTTGACACCTTGCTAAGCACTGGTGGTACTCAAACATTGTCATGTCCTAAAAGTGGTACAATCTGTGAAAAGGTTGAAAAGCCCTGTGCTATTGTAACCAAGCCACCCATTTCTGATTCCCTTTTCTTTCTTCCTTCTCCTGATTTTGCACTTAAGAGCTCCATCCCATCACGACTACTTGATCCTGACTTCCTCGTGAAATATTTTGCATATTTTATAAAATCCTACAAAAGGAAGAAAAATATGGATCCGGGAAACTACAGATCAATCATGCGGGCATCAATACCTGGAAAGATCTTAGAAAAGATAAACAATGGATCTGCGAAAGTCTAGAAACAAACAAAGCTATTACTAGAAGCCAACATGGGTTTGTCAATAATAGATCATGGCAGAAAAAACATATTACATTCTTTGACTAAGTGACAAAATTAGTGGAACAGTAAAACTACATGGACACAATATACTTCAGTGAGGCATGTGACAAAGGAGACCACAGCCGACTTCTTGGCAAGATAGAAAAATGGGAGACACACAGCATCACCCCCAGATGGATTCAGAACTCGCTGACCAAATGCGCTCAACGTAGAGTCCTTCATGTAACTAAGTTATGCCTTCACCCAGCACCATGGGAGCAAAATCCCAATTTCATTGCATTTTGTTTTGTCAAATAAATATTTAAAATATCTATGCTTATTCATCAAACGAAGATTTAACCAAGATTTGTCTACTCACCTTTCAAGCTGCAGCTAAGAGGTCTCTGGGTCACTTGTTCCCCCTTTGAGTCAAGGCCAGGAATGACGCTCACTGTTGACCAGTTTCATTTCTCCTTGATCGACTGGCCCTTTGTGCAGGAAGCTAATTCTCCAACTGGGCCATAATTTCCAAAATCTCTATTATGGAGTCCCGGCCAAAGGTTGGTGGGTCCCGATCTAAGAACGGCCCTTCTCCTCTGTGTAGCTCATGGCCACGTCCTCACTGGTCTCCTGCAAAGAGAAATGAGAAAGGCTCAGATCCCGACAGTAATGCTGAACATAATCTATAAATGACCTGGAGTTGGGAAGAGAAAATAGGATTATTTGTTACTGAGACAAAATAATGGGGATAAAATCCTGATTCAAGATCTTGATGGGCCAAAATAGAAGAAACAGCAAGGTGAAGTCCAACAGGGACCGAGGCAGAGTTGTGAGTAGGAAAACTCAAAGACAGATGAGAGAGATCAGATGGGGCAGAGCATGTGGGAAAGGGGCTGCTCTTTCCAGACAGGTGTTTCAAAAATATGTACAATTGGGAAAGGCAGCCTTTTGGCCATTGGCTTGTTTTTTTCTTAACCTGCTCACAAGACCAGCCTTAAAACCTCCTTTGTAAAACATCCACCAAAATAGGGGCTGCCACATCACAGCCTCTTCTGGGCAAAACAAGGAAAATGTAAAGTTTAGAAATTCTACCCAGGTTTTATAAACAGAAGATTAGATTAGCCTGAAAACAAAGGATTTTATTTTTCGCCTTTTAGACAGAGCACAAAGAAAGAGGATCCCTTTTGTGCCTTAGGACAACATGAGCTCAATTCCAGTAATTTAAACTGGATTTCTTTCCCCCCCCAAACCCTCCCCTCCCCCTTGCAATGAGGTCAGTCTGTGTTAATACCACATTACAAATCTTCATAAACCTTTTAAAGCTCCGTTTACTCCATTTGTGCAGCCGCACTTGCGGGATATGCATGCTCAGAGACCTCCTGCTCTAACGGACCACAGAGAGACCTTCTGGAGTAATTTCCCCAAAAGCTCCTTCCCGGATCCACCCGGAGCCCCACGGGGATCCTGGGCCGGGCGAGGAGGGGGCAGATCCAGCCGGGGGAGGGAGGGACCCCCTTTGCCCCCCTGGAGGGAAGGGAGGGATCCGCTCCCTGCAGGCGACGCCAGAGCCGAATCTCCCCAAGGAAAACCTGGAAAGCCGGAGAGGCGGATCCGCAGCTACCTTCCTCCTGGCGGGGGGGGGGGAAGCTCTCCTGGCGGGAGGGGCGCCCCAAAGGCCGGAGGGGGAGTAGCCAGACCTGCCCCGAGCGGGATCCAGAAGCCTCTCCCGAGGGATCCAGCGCCGAGGATCCCAGGACGAAGCGGGACGCGCGGTAGGGAAGCGGAAATCCAGCGAGTGGGAGGAGAGAGGCGGGGGCGGAGCTTCTGCTCTCCTCCTGGGCTCCGCCTCCGCCTGGCAGCCCCGCCCCTTGGCCGCCTCTTCTCTCCCCCCCTCCCAGCCAGGATCACGTGCTCCGAAGCCTCCTCTGCTCCTCCGATGGGGGCCGGTGTCGAGGTTTCCTCTGCCCATGGGAAGAGCGTCCCTCCCTGACCGCTGGAAGGGGGGGCAGCTCTTCCCGCTCCAGGGTTTGTGTGGGTGTTTGTGTGAGGCTGGGCAGCGGCCAAAAGAGCGGTGCCTGTTTTAGGCATCTCCTGGGATCCTTTACAAGAAGAGTGGCCATGGAATCAGATTATCACAGTGTTTCTCAACCTTGACCATTTTAAGGCATGTGGACTTCAACTCCCAGAATTCCACAGCCAGCATTGCTGGCTGTGGAATTCTGGGAGTTGAAGTCCACATGCCTTAAAATGGTCAAGGTTGAGAAACACTCCCTTATACCATGGCTAGGCAACCTTGGCTCTTTTATGACTCGTGGACTTCAACTCCCAGAATTCCTGAGCCAGCCATGCTGAGGGGAAAGGGAGAAGTTTCCAAGCTGAGCCATGCCTGGCTCAGGAATTCTGGGAGTTGAAGTCCACATGCCTTAAAATTGTCAAGGTTGAGAAACACTGAGATAGATGGAGAGATGTTTTCCCAACAAGGCAAACCAGTCCCTCTGTGAGATGGATGGTTTCTAAATTGGATAATAAATAAATGAGAATAAATAGGTATCTAGATCTGGATCATAAAGTCCTCTTTGGGGGGGGGGAGTGTCCGTCATAACATCGAATGGAGGCAGATTGATGGCTGCCTGTTCTGAACTTTCATGGCTGTTTGTGTGTGTGTCTCTCTCCAGCTCTTGGCTGAAAGGGGGGACCGATCCAAACTCAGCCGCTCTCCCTTGAGCTGGGAAGGGGAGACGCCAGAGACCCCCACAGGAGGGACCAGGAACAATGAAAGCCCCTTTGTGGGCAGAAGGAGCTGAATGCTCACAAATCCACACTGTGGGGGGGGGGAGAGTGGAGGAATTTGATTTGCCATCGAGTGAGACCCAGAAAGTGTGATTTTTCCAACGCAGCACCTGCCCTGCAAAAGACCCTTTCTTGGGGGACCCTGCAGGCCCCCCCACCCTTCTAGCCTTCTGGAAAGTGTACAGGGCTGTTTTTCCCCACCCAGGTCCTCGGACAGAGTAAAGGTGGGACTGGAGGATTTGGAGATTGGGGTGTTTGAGTGTGTGAGTCTGTGTGTGTCAGGCACCCATTCTGTTGGTTTTGGTTCTATTATTGTCGTGCGTCCCCGCCTCAGGTTGTGTTTTACAAGAGGGGTGGACACCAATGGATGGATAAATGTTTTCCGAACAAGGCAAATTAGTTACTTTGTGAGATGGGTCGTTTCTAAATTTCACGATAAATAAATATGTTCAGGTGGTCCTCGGCTTACGACCGTAATGGAGACTACCCATTATGGATCCGGGTCAAAAAGTACCTTTTGTGTCTGTGGGGGGGGGGGGGTCTGTCATAACATCAAACGAACGCAGGCTGATGGCTGCCTGTCCTGAATTTCTATGACTGTGTATGTCTCTCTCTCTCCAGCTGTGCCTGAATTCTTGGCTGAAAGGGGGGACCGATCAAAAACTGAAACGCTCTCCCTTGAGCTGGGAAGATAGACCCCTACGGGGCAGGGGGGGACCAGGAATAATGAAACCCCCTTTGTGGGCAGAAGGAGCTGAATGCTCACAAATGCACATGGGGGAGTGGAGGAATTTAGCAGCGTGAAACTGGCACAACGGCCTTTCTCCCCGTTTCGGTTGACCTTCCATCCATCCCAGGACTGGACTTTCTTCCCAAAGAGCCTTAAATCAGTGGTTCTCAACCTTTTTAATGCCGCGACCCCAACCAGTCGTAAGTCAAGGACTAAACCGGTCGTAAGTCGAGGACTAAACCGGTCGTAAGTCGAGGACTACCCAACCGACCGTAAGTCGAGGACTTTCCCTGCCCGGGAGCGCCGCGCATGCGTGGTTCCGCCCAGTGCGCCGGCCGAGGCGTAGCTGGCAAGCGGCAGAGACGGAGCAGGCCGACCACCAGCTGGCCCAGCCCAAGGGAGGTAAGGCACCCGCCGGAAAAGGGGAAAAAATGGCGGACAAAAAAAAAAGGCGGACAGCCTTGCTTGGTGACCCCCGTGAAATGGTCGATCGACCCCAAATGGGGTCCCGACCCACAGGTTGATAACCACTGCCTTAAATCCATAAAGGGAAAAAGCCTCCATAAGACTTGAGAAGCATCAGGGAACCAGGTGTCCGGATCAAGGTGCTCACAGGGGCCCCTGCCCTATGCTTGGAGGGGGCAGGAAAATGCCAGAAGCCCCCCTGAAGTAGCCAGTAGGAGTTGGGTAGATTACAGCTTCTGAGCACATCAGCCACTACAGTGCATTCAGAAGGGATTAAGAGCCCCTTCGCTTTCGTTGATTCTGTTATGCAGCCATCCAAGCTAAGATTGAGAGCATTTGCAAGGAAGAATGGCAGAAAATCCCCCAATCCAGGGGATCGCTAAAACTCGATGAGATCATCTAGTCCAACCCCCTACTCAGGCAGGAAACCCTATACCAGTTCGGACAAATGGCTGTCCAGTCTCTTCTTTAAAACTTCCAGTGTTGGAGCATTCACCGCTTCTGGAGGCAGGTTGTTCCACTGGTTAATTGTTCTAACTGTCAGGAAGTTTCTCCTTAGTTCTAGGTTGCTTCTCTCCTTGATGAGTTTCCATCCCTTGCTTCTCGTCCTGCCTTCAGGAGCTTTGGAGAATAGTTATCCCATCCCCCAATCCAGGTATGCAAAGCTTGTGGCATCACACCCCGAAAGACTCAGAGGCTGTAATTGATGCCAAGGGTGCATCCACAAAGTACTGAGCTAAGGCTCTGAATAATTTGTGCCAAAGTGATATTTCAGATTTTTCTTTTAAAAAATTTACAGACATTTCTAAAATTTGATTTTCACTTTGTCATTATGGGGTATGAGTGTAGATTAATGAGGAAAAAGAATTTTAACAACTATACAATCAGGCTGCTGCGTAACAAAATTGACAAAAGTGAAGGGGGGGGTCTGAATATTTTCTGAATGCACTGTATGTCCTCAGTAAGGTGTGGTGCATTGAATCATGAGTGTGTGAGGCACGTGTAGGGAGCCACCAATGGCCCGCCCTTAACAGCAGGGATCCATCCAAATCCCCAGGACATTTTTCCTAAAGTTCACCCAAAATCTACACCTTTGAATCCAACCATGGGTGTCAGAAGTGTCCAGCGAGGGAGGATGGACTCAAAAGATCCAAGATGGCAGCTTTGTTCCTAATCAAAAAGCAGCAGGACTTTGACTGCATAGCATGGCACAATTTGACCGACATCTACACTCAGTCCATGCTCTGAAAACAGTCCTCTTGATTATTTTGAACAATACTTTAGGGATTATATTCACACATCAAACAAAGAAACCCAACACAGGTTCAGTATGTCTATGTGTGTGTTTGTATATGTGTGTGCACATATGAAAAAGACAATGTGAAAAAGGGGGAAAAAATCCCTCCAAAAAAGATAGTAAGAAAAAGAAACGTTCGATCTTCATCCTCAGCCAGCATATATTCAACGTCAACATTTTATCACTAAATAAACAACCAGATGCATCTTTGTTCCACCCCTCTCCCCGTTTTCTCCTCTCCAGATCTTCAGTTCTCCTCACTGATCAACAAAGGCCTAGTAAAAAAAATAACAAAAATATCTGGGGGCCTTGACTTATGACTAACAACCTATGGCCAGAAATCCATTTCCAGTTGTGTTGATGTGTCAAAGACTTCCTGTACTCTGCAAACATTATATATACATTGTGCNGGGGGGGGGGGGGGGGGGGACAGTGGAGGAATTTGATTTGCCATCGAGTGAGACCCAGAAAGTGTGATTTTTCCAACGCAGCACCTGCCCTGCGGAAGACCCTTTCTTGGGGGACCCTGCAGGCCCCCCCACCCTTCTAGCCTTCTGGAAAGTGTAGAGGGCTGTTTTTCCCCACCCAGGTCCACGGACAGAGTAAAGCTGGGACTGGAGGATTTGGAGATGGGGTTGTTTGAGTGTGTCGAGTCTGCGTGTGTCAGGCACCCATTCTGTTGGTTTTGGTTCTATTATTGTCGTGCGTCCCCGCCTCAGGTTGTGTTTGACAAGAGGGGTGGACACAAATGGATGGATAAATGTTTTCCGAACAAGGCAAATTAGTTACTTTGTGAGATGGGTCGTTTCTAAATTTCACGATAAATAAATATGTTCAGGTGGTCCTCGGCTTACGACCGTAATGGAGACTACCCATTATGGATCCGGGTCAAAAAGTACCTTTTGTGTCTGGGGGGGGGGGTTCTGTCATAACATCAAACGAACGCAGGCTGGTGGCTGCCTGTCCTGAATTTCTATGACTGTGTATGTCTCTCTCTCTCCAGCTGTGCCTGAATTCTTGGCTGAAAGGGGGGACAGATCAAAAACTGAAACGCTCTCCCTTGAGCTGGGAAGATAAAGAGACCCCTACGGGGGAGGGGGGACCAGGAATAATGAAACCCCCTTTGTGGGCAGAAGGAGCTGAATGCTCACAAATGCACATGGGGGAGTGGAGGAATTGGCAGCATGACACCTGGCACGATGGCCTTTCTCCTCGTTTCGGTTGACCTTCCATCCAGCCCAGGACTGGACTTTCTTCCCAAAGAGCCTTAAATCAGTGGTTCTCAACCTTTTTAATGCCGCGACCCCAACCGGTCGTAAGTCGAGGACTAAACCGGCCGTAAGTCGAGGACTACCCAACCGGCCATAAGTCGAGGACTTTCCCTGCCCGGGAGCGCCGCGCATGCGTGGTTCCGCCCAGTGCGTCGGCCGAGGCGTAGCTGGCAAGCGGCAGAGACGGAGCAGGCCGACCACCAGCTGGCCCAGCCCAAGGGAGGTAAGGCACCCGCCGGAAAAGGGAAAAAATGGCGGACAAAAAAAAAATGGCGGACAGCCTTGCTTGGCGACCCCCGTGAAATGGTTGATCGACCCCAAATGGGGTCCCGACCCACAGGTTGATAACCACTGCCTTAAATCCATAAAGGGAAAAAGCCTCCATAAGACTTGAGAACCATCAGGGAACCAGGTGTCTGGATCAAGGTGCTCACAGGGACCCCCGCCCTATGCTTGGAGGGGGCGGGAAAATGCCAGAAGCCCCCCTGAAGTAGCCAGTAGGAGTTGGGTAGATTACAGCTTCTGAGCACATCAGCCACTACAGTGCATTCAGAAGGGATTAAGAGCCCCTTCGCTTTCGTTGATTCTGTTATGCAGCCATCCAAGCTAAGATTGAGAGCATTTGCAAGGAAGAATGGCAGAAAATCCCCCAATCCAGGGGATCGCTAAAACTCGATGAGATCATCTAGTCCAACCCCCTGCTCAGGCAGGAAACCCTATACCATTTCAGACAAATGGCTGTCCAGTCTCTTCTTTAAAACTTCCAGTGTTGGAGCATTCACCGCTTCTGGAGGCAGGTTGTTCCACTGGTTAATTGTTCTAACTGTCAGGAAGTTTCTCCTTAGTTCTAGGTTGCTTCTCTCCTTGATGAGTTTCCATCCGTTGCTTCTCGTCCTGCCTTCAGGAGCTTTGGAGAATAGTTATCCCATCCCCCAATCCAGGTATGCAAAGCTTGTGGCGTCACACCCCGAAAGACTCAGAGGCTGTAATTGATGCCAAGGGTGCATCCACAAAGTACTGAGCTAAGGCTCTGAATAATTTGTGCCAAAGTGATATTTCAGATTTTTCTTTTAAAAAATTTACAGACATTTCTAAAATTTGATTTTCACTTTGTCATTATGGGGTATGAGTGTAGATTAATGAGGAAAAAGAATTTTAACAACTATACAATCAGGCTGCAGCATAACAAAATTGACAAAAGTGAAGGGGGGGGTCTGAATATTTTCTGAATGCACTGTATGTCCTCAGTAAGGTGTGGTGCATTGAATCATGAGTGTGTGAGGCACGTGTAGGGAGCCACCAATGGCCCGCCCTTAACAGCAGGGATCCATCCAAATCCCCAGGACATTTTTCCTAAAGTTCACCCAAAATCTACACCTTTGAATCCAACCTTGGGTGTCAGAAGTGTCCAGCGAGGGAGGATGGACTCAAAAGATCCAAGATGGCAGCTTTGTTCCTAATCAAAAAGCAGCAGGACTTTGACTGCATAGCATGGCACAATTTGACCGACATCTACACTCAGTCCATGCTCTGAAAACAGTCCTCTTGATTATTTTGAACAATACTTTAGGGATTATATTCACACATCAAACAAAGAAACCCAACACAGGTTCAGTATGTCTATGTGTGTGTGTGTATATGTGTGTGCACATATGAAAAAGACAATGTGAAAAAGGGGGAAAAAATCCCTCCAAAAAAGATAGTAAGAAAAAGAAACGTTCGATCTTCATCCTCAGCCAGCATATATTCAACGTCAACATTTTATCACTAAATAAACAACCAGATGCATCTTCGTTCCACCCCTCTCCCCGTTTTCTCCTCTCCAGATCTTCAGTTCTCCTCACTGATCAACAAAGGCCTAGTAAAAAAAATAACAAAAATATCTGGGGGCCTTGACTTATGACTAACAACCTATGGCCAGAAATCCATTTCCAGTTGTGTTGATGTGTCAAAGACTTCCTGTACTCTGCAAACATTATATATACATTGTGCCATTTGTGGTGTCTCTGAGGTTGATTAGAATCCACAAATGGTCTCTCACATTCTGGGCATTCATAGGGTCTCTCTCCGGTGTGAAGTCGCTGATGTCGGACCAGGGTTGATTTCCTGGAAAAATGTTTTCCATATTCGAGGCACTTTTCTTTTTTCTCCCCTCTGTGTGTTTTCTCATGTCTCCTAAGAGCTGAACTCTGTGATAAAAAGAAAACCCTCCAAAAAAGATAATAGGAAAAAGAAACTTTCGATCTTTATCCTCAGCCAGCACATATTCAACACCAACACTTTATCACTAAATAAGCAACCAGATGCATCCTAATTGCACCCACCCCCATTTTCTCCTCTCTGAATCTTCAGCTCTCCTCACTGATCCACAAACGGCTAGTAAGAACTAACAGAAATGCCTGGGTGCCTTGATTTAGGACTGTAAGGAATTTATGACTGGAAATCCATTCCAGGTTGTGGCCATAACTTTAGGACTGCCTGTACTCTGCAAAATATTATACATACTCCCCACACATTTATAACTCTTTTGTGTATTCACTCTGGTAAGTTACTAATGCGGCTTTGTGAGGAAAACATCCTCACACTCCCAACACTTACACCCTTTTGCCTCATTGTGTACTCTCTCCTACTATTTGAGGTTGCTTCACTAGACAAAATATTTTCCCCACATCAAACACTTGTAGAATTTCCTTTCTGGGACTTTGTGATGTTCCTAGTAAACGTTAAGATGTGACTATTGAAAAAAAAGTGTTCGCAACATTGTTCACAACTGAGGAGATTTATCTCTGCTATGGACTTTCTGGTGCATTTTTAGCTTTGATTTACAATGAAAATTTTTCTCGCACTCTGCACACTTGTAAGGCCGCTCTCCTGTGTGACTTCTGGTGTGCGTGCGAAGTGTTGAAGAATGGGCAAAACATTTCCCACACTCCAGGCATTTATATGGTTTTTCTGCAGTGTGGATTCTCTGATGCATCACAAGAGTATTTTTCCGTGAAAAACATTTATCACACTCTGAGCATTTATGGGGCTTCTCTCCTGTATGGATTCGGCTGTGGCTTCTGAGGGAATATGAATGAGCAAATGTTCTCCCACAGTCTAAACATTTGAAGCTTTTTTCCCCCGTGTGAATTTTTAAATGACTTCTAAGGGCTGATGGGATACTATAAAATCTTCCACATTCGTTGCATTGATATGGCTTCTCCCCTGTGTGGGTTTTATGATGGCTCCAAAGGTTCCCCTGGTGTCCAAAACTTTTCCCACATTCTAGGCATCTGTACGGCTTCTCTCCTGTGTGGAACCTCTGATGGCTTCCAAGGTTTTGTTTTTGGGAAAAGCATTTCCCACACTCCCCACATCTGTATGGCTTCTCCCCCGTGTGGATTCTCTGATGAATCTGAAGATGGGCTGGCGAAATAAAACTTTTCCCACATTCCATACATTTATAGGATAACTCCCCTTTGTGCCATTTCTGGTGTCTCTGAAGTTCATAAGAATCCACAAATCGTCTCTCACATTCTGGGCATTCATAGGGTCTCTCTCCAGTGTGACGTCTCTGATGTTGAAGCAGATTTGATTTCGTGGAAAAACATTTCCCGCATTTGAGGCACTTTTCCTTTTTGTCTTTGTTTGTTTTCTCATGAGTCCGAAGACCTGAACTCTGGGTGAAACTTTTTCCACACTCAAAGCATTTGTAAGGTTTGATTCCTGAATGAATCTTCTCATGGGCCCAAAGACTTGCGTTCTGAGAAAAGCTCTTCCCACATTGGCAACATTTGTAGGGTTTCTCCCCTGTGTGAATCCTCTCGTGGTTTCTGAGACTGGATTTTTCACGGAAAAAAATCCCATATTCCAGACACTGAAAAGCTTTCTCTCCAGTGTGGATTTTCTGATGTCTAACAAGGTGTGACTTTTGACCAAAGGATAAGTTGCATTCCTCACATTTATAGGGGTTTTCACTGGGGGGGCTTTTGGGATCTTTGGTTTCTTTTCCAGAAAAGAATTTCTCACCCTCCAAACCTTGACTGGAGCCGCTTCCCATGTGGACCTTCCTGTGGGCCAAAAGGAGGGACCAATGAGCAAAGGATTTCCCACACTCTGAGCATTCATGGGTTCTTTCATGATTTTTCGGAGTGTTGCTTGTATCTGACGGGGGAACCAACAGGTTCCCACGCTCCATCCTTTCTGACGCTTGCTGCCTTGGGATGAATTTCTACTAACTGTTGAGAGTTGGCTTGCAGGTAAATCTTTGGTCACAATCTTTTAGGCCTAGGGAATGGTTGTGGGGGTGCATTGTGGGTGGGGCTGGTCCTGGGGATCAGGCACGGGTCACCCATGAGTTGGGGGATGCTGAAGTGGGATGTAAAGCTGCTCCCCCTTTAAAAGTCTGCGCTGTCTCAGCCTGGGTATGCAAAAACAATCCTGATGGACAGCAATGCTGGGCTGGCCTGGGCCTTAAGTGGAGGCCTGGGGCCCTCAACCGTTTCAGCCCGCTGCTGCTGATCCCAGGACTGGACTTCAGCCCAGTGTCACCATTGCTACTCAGAAATGCCTTAATCCCAAGACCAGAGGCCTTTGCAGCCTTGCGCCATTCTCCAAGCTGTGTGTTCCATACTGTTGCTAAGCAACGTGTCCCAAAGTATTTCTAACCTTCTTCAGGACCACTCAACTCGCACATGCCCTGTGCCAGCACTCACATGGCCTCTCCTGCCCACTTCAGACAACCCCAGATTCCTTACCTGAGACTTTTGTCTGCTTAACGACCCGTGAAATTGCTCACCAACCAGGCCCAGGAGTGCAGGATTGCAACGTTTGAGCAAAGCAGCCAAGTCACATCTCAATGACCGCTTCACGCAACGACCAAGATTCCGGTCCGAATTGTTGTAAGTAAGTCCAGAATGAACTATGGGAATCAGGAAAAAATTAAGGCATCACATAAGAGAAGGAAAGAGACTTCAGGCTAGTGCAGGGATAGGCAACCTTGGTTCTTCTATGACTCGTGGACTTCAACTCCCAGAATTCCTGAGCCAGCCATGCTAGTGCCACCCATTTCTTATTCCCTTTTCTTTCTTCCTTCTCCTGATTTTGCACTTATGAGCTCCATCTCATCATGATTACTTGATCCTCGTGAAATATTTTGCATATTTTATAAAATCCTACAAAAGGAAGAAAAATATGGATCCAGGAAACTACAGATCAATCATGCTGGCATCAATACCTGGAAAGATCCTAGAAAAGATAAACAATGGATCTGCGAAAGTCTAGAAACAAACAAAGCTATTACTAGAAGCCAACATGGGTTTGTCAATAATAGATCATGGCAGAAAAAACATATTACATTCTTTGACTAAGTGACAAAATTAGTGGAACAGTAAAACTACATGGACACAATATACTTCAGTGAGGCATGTGACAAAGGAGACCACAGCCGACTTCTTGGCAAGAGAGAAAAATGGGAGACACACAGCATCACCCCCAGATGGATTCGTAACTGGCTGACCAAACGCGCTCAACGTAGAGTCCTTCATGGAACTAATTCACCAAGCACCATGGGAGTAAAATCCCAATTTCATTGCATTTTGTTTTGTCAAATAAATATTTAAAATATATATGCTTATTCTCCAAACCAAGATTTTTCTACTCACCTTTAAAGCTGCAGCTAAGAGGTCTCTGGGTCACTTAGTGCCCCTCTTGAGTCAAGTCCAGGGATGACCCTCACTGCTGACCAGTTTCATTTCTCCTTAGTCCATTGCTCCTTTGTGTAGGAAGCTGCTTCTCCAACTGGGCCACGGTTTCCAAATTCTCTAGAATGGAGTCCCGGCCAAAGGTTGGTGGGTCCCGATCTAAGAACGGCCCTTCTCTGTGGAGCTCATGGCCACATCCTCACTTGTCTCCTGCAAAGAGAAATGAGAAAGGCTCAGATGCTGAACATAATCTGTAAATGACCTGGAAGCGGGAGAATATGGAATTATTTGTTGAGGATACAAAATAATGGAGACAAAATCCTGATTCAAGAAGATCTCCATGGGCCAAAATGTAAGAAACCAGCAAGATCACGTCCAACAGGGACCGAGGCAGAGTTGTGAGTAGGAAAACTCAAAGGAAGATGAGAGAGATCAGATGGGGCAGAGCATGTGGGAAAAGGGCTGCTCTTTCCAGACGGGTGTTTCAAAAATATGTGTACAATTAGAAAAGGCAGCCTTTTGGCCATCAGCTTGTGTTTTTTTTTACCTGCTCACAAGACCAGCCTTATAAAACTTCCTTTGGCAAACATCCACCAAAATAGGGGCTGCCACATCACAGCCTCTTCTGGGCAAAATAAGGAAAACATAAAGTTTAGAAATTCTACCCAGGTTTTATAAACAGAAGATTAGATTAGCCTGAAAACAAAGGATTTTATTTTTCGCCTTTTAGACAGAGCACAAAGAAAGAGGATCTCTTTTGTGCCTTAGGACAACATGAGCTCAATTCCAGTAATTTAAACTGGATTTCTTTCCCCCCAAACCCTCCCCTCCCCGTTGCAATGAGGTCAGTCTGTGTTAATACCACATTACAAATCTTCATAAACCTTTTAAAGCTCCGTTTACTCCATTTGTGTAGCCGCACTTGTGGGATATGCATGCTCAGAGACCTCCTGCCCTGACGGACCACAGAGAGACCTTCTGGAGTAATTTCCCTAAAATCTTCTTCTCGGATCCACCCGGAGCCCCACTGGGAGCCTTGGCCGGGCGAGGAGGTAGCAGATCCAGCCCGGGGAGGGAGGGACCCCCTTTGCCCCCCTGGAGGGAAGAGGCGGATCCGCAGCTACCTTTCTCCTGGTGGGGGGGGGAAGGCTCTCTTGGCGGGAGGGGCGCCCCAAAGGCCGGAGGGGGAGCAGCCCGACCTGCCCGGAGTGAGATCCAGAAGTCTCTCCCGAGGGATCCAACGCCGATCCTGCCAGGGCGAAGCGGGACACGCGGATGGAAGCGGAAATCCAGCGAGTGGGAGGAGAGAGGCGGGGGCGGGGCTTCTGCTCTCCTCCTGGGCTCCGCCTCCGCCTGGCAGCCCCGCCCTTTGGCCACCTCTTCTCTTCCCCCCTCCCAGCCAGGATCACGTGCTCCGAAGCCTCCTCTGCTCCTCCAACGGGGGCCGGTGTCGAGGTTTCCTCTGCCCATGGGAAGAGTGTCCCTCCCTGACTGCTGGAAGGAGGGCAGCTCTTCCTGCTCCACCGTTTGTGTGGGTGCTTGTGTGAGGCTGGGCAGCTGCCAAAAGAGCGGTGCCTGTTTTAGGCATCTCCTGGGATCCTTTACAAGAAGAGTGGCCATGGAAACAGACAGATGGAGAGAGGTTTTCCCAACAAGGCAAATCAGTCGCTCTGTGAGATGGATGGTTTCTAAATTTGATAATAAATATGGATCTAGATCTGGATCATAAAGTACATTAAAGTACACTGAATAAACAACCGGGTGTATCTTCTTTCCACCCCGTCCCCCGTCCCCCGTTTTCTCCTCTCCAGATCTTCAGTTCTCCTCACTGATCAACAAAGGCCTAGTAAAAAATAACAAAAATATCTGAGGGCCTTGACTTATGACTTGACTTATGACTAACAACCTATGGCCAGAAATCCATTTCCAGTTGTGTTGATGCTTCAAAGACTTCCTGTACTCTGCAAACATTATATATACACTGTGCCATTTCTGGTGTCTCTGAAGTTGATAAGAATCCACAAATGGTCTCTCACATTCTGGGCATTCATAGGGTTTCTCTCCAGTGTGAAGTCGCTGATGTCGGACCAGGGTTGATTTCCTGGAAAAACGTTTTCCACATTCGAGGCACTTTTCATTTTTCTCCCCTCTGTGTGTTTTCTCATGTCTCCTAAGAGCTGAACTCTGTTATAAAAAGAAAACCCTCCAAAAAAGATAATAGGAAAAAGAAACTTTCGATCTTTATCCTCAGCCAGCACATATTCAACATCAACACTTTATCACTAAATAAGCAACCGGATGCATCCTAATTGCACCCACCCCCCTTTTCTCCTCTCTGAATCTCTCCTCAGTGATCCACAAACGGCTAGTAAGAACTAACAAAAATGCCTGGGTGCCTTGATTTAGGACTGTAAGCAATTTATGACTGGAAATCCATTCCAAGTTGTGGCCATAACTTTAGGACTCCCTGTATTCTGCAAAACATTATACATACTCCCCACACATTTATAACTCTTTTGTGTAATCACTCTAGTAAGTTACTAATGCAACTCTTGTGACCTACGATGTATGTCCTAAGTAAGAAGTGGTTCATTTCATCAGGAGTGTGTCAGGCACATATAAATAGCCACCAACGATCTGCCCTTAAGAGCAGGGGTCCATCTCAACCCACGAGGACATTTTTCCCAAAGTTCCTCCGAAATCTACGTCTTTCAATTCAATCCTGAAGTCCGAAGTCTCCAGCGAGGGAGGGCGGAGTCAAAAGGATCGAGATGGCGGCTGTTTTGAAGGGCATCACATACACAGCTAAAAAGCAGCAGGACTTTGACTGCAGAGCATGGCACAATCTGACCTCCCATCTTGACTTTTTTTGATCTCCCTGAAAACAGCTCTCTTGATTATTTTGAACAATAATTTTATTAAGGATTAGATTCACATATCAAAGCAAGAAACCTAATACAAATATCTGTGTATGAATATAGGAAAGAGAGGATTGGAGGGGGGGAAACACCCAGAAAATATAGTAGAAAAAAACTTTCAATCTTTATCCTCAGCCAACATATATTCAACATCCACACATTATCACTAAATAAGCAACAGGATGCATCCTAAAATCCCATTTTCTCCTCTCTGAATCTTCCGTTCTCCTCACTGATCAACGGCTAGTAAGAACTAACAGAAATGCCTGGGTGCTTTGATTTAGGACTGTAAGCAATTTATGACTGGAAATCCATTCCAAGTTGTGGCCATAACTTTAGGACTGCCTGTATTCTGCAAAACATTATACATATTCCCCACACATTTATAACTCTTTTGTGTAATCACTCTGGCAAGTTACTAATGCGGCTTTGTGAGGAAAACATCCTCACACCACCAACACGTACGCCCTTTTGCCTCATTGTGTACTCTCTCCTAGTATCTGAGGTTGCTTCACTAGACAAAATATTTTTCCCACATCAAACATTTGTAGGATTTCACTTCTGGGACAGTGTGATGTTCCTAGTAAACGTTAAGATGTGACTGTTGAAAAAATTGCTCACAATTTGATTTACAATGAAATTTTTTTTTGCACTCTACACACTTATAAGGCCGCTCTCCTGTGAGACTTCTGGTGTGTGTGCGAAGTGTTGAAGAATGGGCAAAACATTTCCCACACTCCAGACATTTATATTGTTTTTCTCCCTTGTGGATTCTCTGATGCAACACAAGAGTATTTTTCTGTGAAAAACATTTATCACACTCTGAGCATTTGTGAGGTTTCTCTCCCGTATGGATTCGGCTGTGACTTATAAGGGAAGATGAATGAGCAAATGCTTTCCCACAGTCTAAACATTTGTAACTTTTCTCCCCCGTGTGAATTTTTATATGGCTTTTAAGGGCTGAGGTGGTGGCATAAAATCTTCCACATTCGTTGCATTGATATGGCTTCTCCCCTCTGTGGGTTTTATGATGGCTCCAAAGGCCTCTCTTGCGTCCAAAGCTTTTCCCACATTCTACGCATCTGTACGGCTTCTCTTCTGTGTGGACCCTCTGATGGCTTTCAAGGTGTCCTTTTTGGGAAAAGCATTTTCCACACTCCACACATTTGTATGGCTTCTCCCCCGTGTGGATTCTCTGATGAATCTGAAGATGGGCTGGCGAAATAAAACTTTTTCCACACTCCCTACATTTATAGGGTAGCTCTCCTTTGTGCCATTTCTGGTGTGTCTGAAGTTCACAAGAAAACATAAATCGTCTCTCACATTCTGGGCATTCATAGGGTCTGTTTCCAGTGTGACGTCGCTGATGTCGGACCAGGGTTGATTTCGTGGCAAAATGTTTCCCACATTCAAGGCACTTTTCTTTTTTCTCCCCTCTGTGTGTTTTCTCATGAGTCCGAAGACCTGAACTCTGGGTGAAACTTGTTCCACACTCAATGCATTTGTAAGATTTGATTCCTGAATGAATCTTCTCATGGCGCCAAAGACATGAATTCTGAGAAAAGCTCTTCCCACATTGCCAACACTTGTAAGGTTTCTCCCCTGTGTGAATTCTCTCGTGGATTCTGAGGGTGGCTTTGTCACGGAAAAATTTACCACATTTCAGACACTGATAGGGTTTCTCTCCAGTGTGGATTTTCTGATGTCTAAGAAGGTCTGACTTTTGACCAAAGCATAAGTCACATTCCTCACATTTATGGGGTTTTAGTCTGGCGGGGCTTTTGGGATCTTTGGGGTCTTTTCCAGAGAAGGATTTCTCACCCTCCAAATCCTGACTGGATCCGCTTCCCACATGGACCTTCCTGTGGGTCAAAAGGAGGGACCTGCGAGCAAAGGACTTCCCACACTCTGAGCATTCATGGGTTCTTTTGTGGTTTTCCGGAGTGCTGATTGTGTCTGACGGGGGATCCGAGAGTTTCCTAGGCTCCATCCTGTATTTCTGTTGATTGTTAGCTTGCAGATAAATCTTTGGAAACAATATTTTATTTCTGTTGAAAAAAATAAAAATGAAGAATATTTCCTTTTGAGAAAGGTAGAGAAGCACAGGCTACTCATCGTGTAAGGGACCATGAAGGTCTTCCAGTCTGACCCTCTCTAGTACACCCCAGAGAAAATCTCCACTGATTTTGTCCCCCCACATTTCTCAGATGCAACCTCTTCCTGCTGTTCATTGTCTCTACCCTTCCCTCCTCCTTGGTTCTTGTCCTACGACAAAATGAAACAGAATCTCTGAAGCTACAGGTAGTCCTCAATTTATGAATAAAATTGGGGCTGCAATCTCGGTTGTTCAGTGAAGCGGTAGTCAAGTGAGAGGCCACGTGGCCACTTCACTCCCCAAACATAATCCCACAGTCCTGGTTGGGGTCATTAAGTGATCTTGGGCATTGTTAAGTGGAGGGGGGAGCCTCAGTCAATGGCTGTGAGGGTTTCTCGGGGCTGGGGATGGCCTGGAGATGAGGCACAGGCCACCATGAATTGGGAGGCTATTGAAGTGGGATTCAAAGGTGCAGCCATTCCTGGAAGCCTGACCGCCCAGGCTCGGGCGTGCAAAGCAGGCCTGATTGACAACAATGCTGAAGCTGGGACTTAAATGGAAGTCTTTTGGCCTTCAACAGGTTCAGCCAGCTCCCCCTGACTCCAGGCCTGGACTTCAGCCCAGCACTATCCTGTCACTGAGAAATGGGGGCTTAATCCCCAGACTGGAGGCCTCGGCAACCTTGGGCCATTCCCCAAGCCCCATGTTCCATCCTGTTGCTAAGCAACATGTCCCAAAGTATCTCCGAGCTTCTCCAGGACCCCCTCAAGTCGCACGTGGCCTGTGCCAGGACTCACAGGGCCTCTCCTGCCCACTTCAGACAACCCTTATCTGGAACCTCGTCTACTTGTGAAGTAGCTTAACAACCACAAAAATGAATGCAGGATTGCAGTCGTTGAGCAAAGCAGTCATAGGATATCTCACTTAATGAAAGCTCCTCTCAGAGGCTGAGATTCCGGACTGAATTGTGGTCATAATCGGAGGAGTACCTAGAGGGAATCCCCCCAAATTAAGGCATTGCATAAGGAAAAGAAGAGGCACCATGGATCAGTGCCGTGGAGAGGTTATTCTGTGGCCCAGAGGGGTATGGTTTTGGGTGCTTCCTGCATCCCGCAGACAGGGCTTTGTTTGTTTGTGCGGCCCAGTTTCTGGCATCCTGTGGCCTATGCCAGCCCACAGACTGGGGTTTGGGAAACCCTGGGGTAAGCGACCCATTTCTTATTCCCTTTTCTTTCTTTTTCTGATTTTTACATCATGATGTCTTGATCCTCACTCCTTTGCGACCCATTTTATAGATTTTATAAGATACTACAAAAAGGGGGGAAATGGATGCGGAAAATTATAGACCACGGGTCGGCAACCCGCGGCTCCGGAGCCGCATGCGGCTCTTTGAGGCATCCCCTGCGGCTCTGGAGCCTCCTCCGCCATTTTCAGAGAGAGACAAGGAAAGAGAGAGACAGGCACTTGCACTTCCCCCCCCTCTCATGTGGACTTGCCCCCTCGCAGGGCTCCTGATTGGCCCTGCGCCCGGGTGCCCCATCCCCTGGGAGAAGGGCGGCCAGGAAGTCCCTTTCCTGGGCTGGCCCCGTCTGAGGCGCACGTGCCTGGGGAGCCATGCGTGGAAGTCCCAAGATCCCCGCTGGGAGTGGCCTGTCCGAGCCTCCGCTGAGCGGGGCAGCCTTCCCGGAAACCGCGGCCCCGAGAGCAGCCCCTCCGATGCCCAGCCGGCGCCAAGCAGCAGCAGAGCCGGAGACAGAGGGTCAGTGGCAGGGGGAGGGAGGGGGCTCTGAGTTCATGGAGCACGGCCGCGAAGCAGCCGCGGGGCAGGTGGTGCGCCCCCCCCTGGCTTACTTGTTCCAGTCTCGGCTGGGGCATCGCTTCCTGGGCCGTTCCTGGGCCGCTCCCTGGGCAGCCGAGCCAGCCACATGTCTCCCCGTGCTGGGCGGCAGTCATGGCTGGTGTGGCGGCCAGCGGGAGCATCGCCCCCCGGGAAGCCGAACCGGCCACATGTCTCCCCAGGCAGGGCCGGGCTGCAGTCATGGCTGGGGCAGTGGCCGGCAGGGGCATTGCTCCCCGGGAAGCTGAGCAGGCCACATGTCTCCTTAGCTCGGGCCGGACGGCAGTCAGGCATGAAGCTCGCCTGGCTGCCGCAGGGCTCTCCGCCGCCTGGCCCCACCTCGGCCCCATCGGTGGCGCCTTCCTTGGGCACTTTCGGGGAGCCACCGCCGCTGCCCTCGTTGCTGCAGGAGAAGGAGACCTTGGGATGCGAGGGCGGCGGGGCTGGCGGCGATCGGGACCCCTCCTCGTCCCCGCGGCGGTACTCCCCGTTGCCGGCGGGGCCGCCCATGGTGCACCCGGCCTTGGCGCCTTCCTCTTAAGACGGTGAAGTGGCTGAGGATGCGGCGGGGGCGGCGGCCGGGCCGGGGGCGGCGACGGGGACCCCGACGATGCTGCAGTGGCTGCTGCCGGAGCCGCTGCCTCCTGTCCTGCTCCCCCTCCCTGCCTGTTCGGCTGAAGAAGCGATTGGGGGGGCGGCCGGGAGCTGCTGCCTCCGGTCCTGCTCTCCCCGCCCGTTCGGCGCCATCTGCCTTTCATTCTCTCTCTCTCTCTCTCTCTCTCCTAACGTGGAGGGAGAGGGAGAAAGAGGAAAGAAAGAGAAGAGAAAGAGAGGAAAGAGAGAAAGAGATGGAAAGAGAAAAAGTGGAAAGAGAAAGAGGGGAAAGAGAGAGAGAAAGTTAGAGGAAAGAGAGGAAGAGAAGAGAAAGAGGAAAAAAGAAAAAGAGGAAAGGGAGAAAAAGAGGAAAGAGAGAAAGAGAAGAGAGAGGAAAGAGAGAAAGAGGAAAGAGAAAGAGAGGAAAGAGAGAAAGAGAAAGAGAGAAAGAGGAAAGAAAGAGAGAAAGAAAGGAAAGAGAGAGGAAAGAGGAAAGAGAAAGAGAAGAAAAGAGAGGAAAAAAAGAGGAGAAAGAGAGGAAAGAGAGAAAGTTAGAGGAAAGAGAAAGAGAGAAAGAGGAAAGAGAGAGACAGAGAGAGAGGAAAGAGAGAGAAAGTTAGAGGAAAGAAAGAGAAGAGAGAGGAAAGAAAGGAAAGAGAGAGGAAAGGAAGAGAAAGAGAAGAAAGAGAGAGAGGAAAGAGAGAAAGAGAGAGGAAAGAGAAAGGAAAGAGAAAGAGAGAGAGAGAAAGAGAGAGAGGAAAGAAAGAAAAAGAGAGGAAAGAGAGAGAGAGAAAAGAAAGAGAAAGAAAGCAAGAGGGAGAGGAAAGAGAGAAAAAGAGGAAAGAGAAAAAAGATTGAGAAAGAGAGAGGAAAGAGAGAAAGGAAAGAGAAAGAGGAAAGAGAGAAAGGAAAGAGAAAAAGAAGAGAGGAAAGAGAGAAAGAGGAAAGAAAAAGAAAGAGTGAAAGAAAAGAGAGAGAGGAAAGAGGAAAGAGAGAGAAAGAGAGAGGAAAGAGAAAGAGAGAAAGAGGAAAGAAAGAGAAAGAGGGAGAGGAAAGAGAAAAAGGAAAGAGGGAGAGAAAGGAGAGGAAAGAGAAAAAGGAAAGAGAAAGAGGAAAGAGAGAAAGGAAAGAGAAAGAAAAGAGAGGAAAGAGAGAAAGAGGAAAGAAAAAGAGAAAGAGAGAAAGAAAAGAGAGAGAGGAAAGAGGAAAGAGAGAAAGAGGAAAGAAAGAGGGAGAGGAAAGAGAAAAAGGAAAGAGGGAGAGAAAGGAGAGGAAAGAGAGAAAGGAAAGAGAAAGAAAGCGAGAGGGGGAGAGGAAAGAGAGAAAAAGAGGAAAGAGAAAAAAAATTGAGAAAAGAGAGAGGAAAGAGAAGAGAAAGAGAGAGGAAAGAGAAAGAAAGGAAAGAGAAAGAGGAAAGAGAGAAAGGAAAGAGAAAGAGAGGAAAGAAAGTTAGAGGAAAGAGAGGAAGAGAAGAGAAAGAGGAAAAAAAGAAAAAGAGGAGAGAAAAAGAGGAAAGAGAGAAAGAGGAAAGAGAAAGAGAGAGGAAAGAGGGAAAGAGAAAGATAGAAAGAGGAAAGAAAGATAGAAAGATAGAAAGAGGAAAGAAAGAGAGGAAAGAGGAAATAGAAAGAGAAGGAAAGAGAGGAAAGAAAGAGGAGAGAGAGGAAAGAGAGAAAGTTAGAGGGAAGAGAAAGAGGAAAGAGAAAGAGAGAGAAAGAGAGGAAAGAGAAGAGAAAGAGAGAGGAAAGAGAAAGAAAGGAAAGAGAAAGAGGAAAGAGAGAAAGGAAAGAGAAAGAGAGGAAAGAGAGAAAGTTAGAGGAAAGAGGAAGAGAAGAGAAAGAGGAAAAAAAGAAAAAGAGGAAAGAGAAAAAGAGGAAAGTGAGAAAGAGAAGAGAAATAGAGGAAAGAGAGAAAGAGGAAAGAGAAAGAGAGAGGAAAGAGGGAAAGAGAAAGATAGAAAGAGGAAAGAAAGATAGAAAGAGGAAAGAAAGAGAGGAAAGAGGAAATAGAAAGAGAAGAAAAGAGAGGAAAGACAGAGGAGAAAGAGAGAGGAAAGAGAGAAAGTTAGAGGAAAGAGAAAGAGGAAAGAGAAAGAGAGAGAAAGAGAGGAAAGAGAGAGAAAGTTAGAGGAAAGAGAAAGAAAGAGGAAAGAGAAAGAGGAACGAGAGAAAGGAAAGAGAAAGAGGAAAGAGACAGAAAGAGAGGAAAGAGAAAGTTAGAGGAAAGAGAGAAAGAGGAAAGAGAAGAGAGAGAGAGGAAAGAGAGACCCTTTTGACATCTAAAATGAAGATAACACTGCATATATCCTTTTTTCCCCTTAATTTTATATATACACACACAAACATACACATACCTATAATAAAGGTAAAAAAGGATACATGCAGTGTTATCTTCATTTTAGATATCAAAAGGGTTTTGCGGCTCCTAGTGTTTAAGAAAGAAAGAGGAAATAGAAAGAGGAAAG